ATAAATTGCATAAAAATAATTGATTTGCAACGTATTAATAACATATATCTTTAGTTTGAATGATTATGAAGCTGTATTATTTAGTTTCGTTGAATATTGAGATCGATTTAACCGTTTCGACCAGGCAGAATAGGGTTTCTGTCAACTTCTTATTGAGATCTTTTTAGTATTTCTAACTCGCGAAATGGATACGAATAGACAACAATTTCCATACGCGGACAGTGATCTGTCATAAGTATTGTCAGCACGGTTTAGAAAACTACTAAAGTAAAATGAAATTTAAGAAAAAGACAAATTTATATACAGTAATGGTTTTATAGATGTATATCGACATAGTTACTATGCTATTTTGCTATTGTTCGTGTTTGAAATTAGAATGAACAGATCTAAGGGTGTAGGTGGGTGGGTGCGGATCTTGAATCTTCTTACCCACATCCACACCCTACATCCACCTACCCTCACTCACCCATCCAACACCCACACATACATCCTTTGTTAATACTATAGAACTATACGATTCATCTATTGGTACTTGAACGAACACTAGTAATCCAGTCAATCCTAGATCTGATAACGTCGGAGTCGTCTTGAGCGATGGATGAATATTGATCAATGGTGGATAACCTATTTCTTTTTCACGAAGCACTAAACTCTATGAATAATTAATCAAAACTCAAATCAACTTGTATTATTTTCAATATCTTGAGAGTACATGAGAATAACAGGAGTCTAGCAATCATTGTCATAAGTTCACTTCGCTTAAAAGAATCTTCAGGTGCCTTTAATTCTTTATTTTCGCTTTACTTGTCAGCTAAAGTTTTCAGAATAAACAATACTATTAATATCTTTTTTTTTCTGTACATACGACTTTCTATGGCATATTTATCAAAGAAAAGATTGAATGAATAAGGATGGACAATTATCACACAGTTTTTAGCAAAGATGCCGGTTATTTTTGATTATGAAAGAAAAGTCGTGATTATTCGTACAGAGAGTACGATTTTTCGCAATTAATTCGATTAAGGTCGTTTATAATTCTCATTTTGATTGAGGAAAAAATGTCTTGTTACATATTTTAAACGATTATACAGATGAACATGTAATTTTCATCTTTAATCAGTTAGAACTGATAAGTATTTGCAAGTTCAAAATGAGGTTTAATTTTTTTGATTGATTTTCAATCCATAGTAATATGTTTCTCTGATTTCAATACAGGTACAATATTTTCAAAGAGCATACAGTACATCGTTTATTCTTCATTGTTCTCAATAGCTGAGCATTATACTGATTCATGTAAGATAAGATATCTTCACTTATCTGTGAAAAATAATGAAAAGTTACATTTGCATATGTTTTCGTATAGTGTAAAATGAAATGGCAAAGATCCACAGTAGTATTTATCATCACAGTCACTTCGAAAAAGAATTAATCTTTCCAGCTAACTAATTATGTGACTTGAGGGTGAGTGTAGATGATTATTTTCCCTTCACCGTCACCGACATCCATTCACCTTCACTCACCCTCAAGATAGGGTTTGTCATTCGATTCACATGGCAATCTCTATGCCGTCGATCACTGTAACCATCGAGTTCAACGATTTTCCATCGAAATGAGTTGACATTGTATGTTATTCAAATTTCTCTCTTGCTTTAAAATGAAATGAACGAATAGAATTGTGTTCGTTTCGATCTAATTACTAGAAATAGGACAAGTTTCATCCACACACGCGCACGAATGAGCTTGAAAGCTTGTTGCATGTCACGATCACCAGGATTGGATTAGAGTGAAGAGAAGACTCATCTTCATTCATCCACCTTCACTCTTCTTGTTAATATCAACTGTTCTATTACAATGAGTGTACTAATCTGAAGACAAATTTATTTGGAAGAAAGTTAAGATCGACTGAAAACAGAATGATTCAATTAAAAACTTCTCTAAAAATTAGATCATATGACTAATTTTCTAGGAAAAAGACTACCATTCCATAATAACAATATACCTTCATGATCTACTTAATCAATCTTTTTTTTACGAACATAATAGCTTGTCTATTCTTGAATATTCATGAAATGAATGACAGTTTAGTTACAATATAATCATATGTTAAATAGATTAATTGTCTTCAATATATTTTCACAAAAAAAAATCATAGAAACACAAATCTATGTATTTGAGATAAATCTAAAGCTAATGTTTTCATTTTCAAAACTTTTGTATTTGTATCGAATGTCCATTTGTCTTTCGATAATTCTTGTCTATTCCAAAGAATTGTCGTTGGTTGTTTTATCACACCAAATATTGAAATTTCTTCTAATCTATTATTCATTTCAGGATATTTATATGTCCATGGTTCAAGTATTAAACGTTGTGCATCATAATTGAATCTAAAATAATTATAATCTAATCTTTGATAGGTATCAATTGATTCTCCATCATCCCAATATAAATATCCCTGTGCTTTTTGTTGTTTATCAAGAGCAACATATAGATAAAATA